CAATGCTTGACCCGGAAGTCAGCATTATATTATGACCTTTATTTTAACATGGATATGTGGATTGGCATAGAATCTAAGCAAAAATTGAAGATCAGCTCACGAGCCGCCGGGGGCGGCTTAGCGTACTGACGGCACTTTAGCCGCGCCGCGCCGCCCCCCACGGCTCGGCGTAGCGAATGAGTTAAGAATTTAACAAAATTCACCTATCTGAAGATGCGTGGAATTGAATTCAACTCAATACATGATATGCGTTTTTGTTCCAAGTTTTCGCCTTAGTTCGATCTATATTTTTCGTTTGATTAGCCATTGATTTCTGGAGAAAACCATGAAACTCTAACAACTTTCTTTATTATTGAAATCGAAACATAATGATTTAGCAACAGACTCACTGCTGCCATTTTTTTAAATTGTAGAAATAGTGCATGTAAAGCAAAACAAAATCATGATTCTAAACTATTAGTACTATTACTATTACTCCAAATAAATGTCAGGTCTATGACATTGTATTCGTTTATGATTTCTGAACCAACATTTTAGAAAAAAATATGGTGAATCTTCATGATGGCAATCATGATTGTGCCACTCGTGTTTTGTCCTTTGTTTTGAATAGCGACAGTGTTGTCATTACCCAAAATTATCAAACGAATAGTCAGTACCAGAACAACCAACCACCACACGATCTGACATTACAGTTGTCACTAAATAACCAATCACCACATAATCTGACGTTACAGTTGTGACCACATCAATCAACGTGCAGTTGTTCATAATAATTGATCAAAATCAAATAAAAATAATCATACAAACTGACAGTAGAAATCATAGCAATCGATAAATTACACAAAAAATGAAAGCTGATAGATCTTCCTTATCAAAAAATGCAAACTAATACAGTGGAGTCCACTTATATAACAAGTCCTGAAATAACGAGAAGTCTGCTATAAAGACTTCTAAAACCCCGCTAAGGTCATATGAGCGCGCAATTTATTAATGGATCCCTTATAATGAGGATCCTGCTATAACGGACATTTCGTACCGGTCCCTACCTCTCGTTATAAAAGGATTCCACTGTACTAATAAAATGCAATTGGCACTTCAGCAGAATCGATAAAGTTTTGGATTAAGATTGCCTTGCTATTTTGCAAGATTAAATTAAGGTGATGTTTGTGCAAAATTGATGCTCTACAACAAGGATAAAAGGAAAAAAGCTGGAAAATGTTCGTCCTGTATCTAGTGAAAGTGATTTTATAGAAATAATCAACTAACGCTTCAGCTGTAATAATGAATGAATGACCGCTTGTGCTACACTACAATAGAGGTACGAGGTGTCGATTATTCTTCTACACCCCCCCCCTCTCGTCTCTCTCTCTCTCTCTCTCTCTCTCTCTCTCTCTCTCTCTCTCTCTCTCTCTCTCTCTCTCTCTCTCTGCC